GTGTGAACTTTTTCATGGGTTTTTACAATAGAGGTCTCATACAATATTTGTCCTTTTGTGATTGACTTATTTCACTCAGCAGAATGTCCTCCAGTGAAACAGCTTTTTTTGTGTGTTTGTTTTTGTTTTGCTATGTAGTCAAGAGTAATTGACTTTTCACAAATGATAATCTCCTGCACTCTCAGAGGCGCTAGCTCACGTGAATGTTGTATTTAGATGGAAAAAGTTTTCTGGAGCCTTAGACTTAAAAGCATTGCATATCCTAGGACTTGTTGGCCCATCTCTTAAAGCTAACTCAGTTAGTATCCTCGTAGGTTCTGTGGGAGGAGAAGCCACCAGAACAGAGCTGTGCGTGGGAGAAATGCCATCTAGATCTGAAAAGCCATCTCACAAGGGCTCTAATATCGCAGGTAAAGGTGACGCTTGCTTTCACTCTTACATTCTAGGCTTCCATCCTGATCCCCAAACCTTCTAATAAATATTTTTCTATTTCAAGTCAAATAAGCAAGGAAAGACAGGAAACTTGATGTGGAAAACATTCAGGAAAGATGAGATGCCCAGCTGATGACAGATAAACGATCTTTCTACAATACAAACAGTATAAAGTTTAATAGAAAACTCAAAGCTGATTGGAGCAAGTTAATGCCGGCCAAAGATTGATTGAGTCCAGTAATTTGACACTGTAAAACTTTACCAAAGGCTAATGCCAAGGGTGCTGACCTAGAACGTAGTATAATAAATTTTCAAAGAAGTGAACAACTGAGCTAAACTTCCCCCACACCCCCTTTTTGGAACTCAAAATTCAAATAATTTTTGGCCTCTTATCTCATTGCGCCTAAGATGAGGACCATTTAAAAGGCCAAATTCATTAGTATCTAGAGTGAGAGTAGTGGCAAGAATTTTAACATTGGTTGATAAGGCTGAAGTGACTTACGTGGTGTTGTGGATTGAAATGTGTCCCCCAAAAAGATATGTTGAAGTCCTAACCTTTAATATCTATAAATGTGATCTTGTTTGGAAATAGGGTGTTTGAAGATGCTATCAGTTAACATGAGGTCATACTGGAATAGGGTGGTGTCCTTATAAAAGAGGAGAACATACACAGAGAGACAAAGAAAGGACAGCCCTGTGAAGATGCATCTACAAGTCAAGGGATGTCTGGGGCTAGCAGAAGCTGGGAGAGACAAGACAGGATCTTCCCCTAGAGCATTCAGACAGAGCATGACCCAAAGGTCACATTGATTTTGACTTCTAGCCGCCAGAACTGTGAGGCAGTAAGTTTCTGTTGGTATAAGCCACTCAGTTTATGGTATTTTGTTACAGCAGCTCTAGGAAACTAATACACATGGTCATTTCAAAGAATGGCTGTGCATATTCTCCATTAGATGATATGTCAATATCACTGCAAAACTCTACTAAGCAAAACAGGAAAAGGAATCCAGGAATTCAGATTCCCTAAGCCTTGGAAGAAGGAGCCTCTGTCCCCTGCCTGTGTTATAAGCGAGGTGATTCCAGTCACCGGCAGTGCCAGTGGGATCTGAGTAGGGCACACAAGTGGAGCAAGGACGTGTTGATGATGTTCACAGCAAGCTTGCTGGCACTGGTGCAGCCTCCAAGGAGGGCAGGGAAGAGGCCATGCCACAGAACCCAGGAACCTCTTCTTTTAGACGCTTTGACATTCTCTAGGGCTGTGTTTCCCAAACAGAATTTGGCAGATTACGAGGGTCCCTAGTGGCACAGTGGTTAAGAGCTTGGCTACTAACCAAAGAGGTCAGCGGTTTGAATCCACCAGCTGCTTCTTGGAAACTCTATGGGGCAGTTCTACTCTGTCCTATTGGGTCGCTATGAGTTGGAATCGACTCGCTGGCAATGGGTTCGTATGTCAGTATGTCAATAAGTGTTTAGGGTCGGGTAGGGGTACAGATAAGCCAAGTTAGATTTCAAGGTCAAAAGACGTTTGGAGATTCACAATGCAAATTATCCTATTAAAGGCTCTGAGAAGTCTTGCAGTAAAGACATTTATTCAATTTACTTTAACATATTGTCTAAAATACCCCGCATTTTGAAGTATATCTATTTATTTCTTATAGGGTACTACTGTTCTGTGGACGTAGTTTGGAAATGCCATCCCTGATTAGTGGCATCATTTAATCCTCAGGTGGTTTTGTTGTGGAACCAGGTTTGAGAACCACAGGCCAGGGAATCTTTTTTTTTTTTTTTTAGTTGTACTTCAGGTGAAGGCTTACAGAACAAATAGTTTCTCATGAAACAGT